GCCGTGGCTTTAACCGTGTGATTTGTAGATTTACACTGGCTAGTGTTGTTAATAGTAAGACCCAGCTCAGGTAAACCTAGCTAGGAAACATATATAGAATGGAAGTGCACCAATTGGAACACAGCCCTAGCGTTTCTATCAGGGACTCTTGTGATGCTGCTGGGTCCTGTTAGTGGAAGTAAAAGAAAATGTCATTGTTGAATATTGGCCAAATTACTTGCCATCATTCTATCTTTATTCTGTCTCATGATCGTTTTTATATAATTGGGAGACCCCAGTGAAATGGTAAAACCAAAACATATAATTTACAGAAATGTGGATTCAGCCTGACAGAATACAGAAAAGTACAACACCCAGCAGGCTCTGCTTTTTCATTACAGTGGAACTGTAAAAGACTTAAAGGAGAATACCATCATTTTTCTAAAATTTCTGAACAATTCAGTCCTTGAGATGTAAAGAGAGTCATTCAGAGTGGTTCGATGTGCAATGGTTCATCGTAAACAACCTTATTGACTCAGCTCTCTTTACAGTGGTGATAGGAACCTGGGGTTGCCATGACTACAACACAAATACACCCATTTTATTTAAAACCACCAGAGAACCTACACTATCTTCTGAATTTTTATATGTAATGTTGATGATGGTAAAAAAGTGATAAATCTGAAAAATTAAGTTTTCTTTGGGGACTACTTTGCCTTACAAAGCCCTGCATGTATCCCTCCACCATGAATATATTAACATAAATGGATTAAAATACAATTTAAGCCGAAATATTACTACAAAACTATTATAAAACAAAGTCTCAGACATCAGGAAGCATATTCATAAGCATTTCACATAAGAACTTTCTGTGAGGGAGCTTTTATAGGTGCATGTCTGGTTCCTATCACCACCACTGTGAACAATTCTGACTTGGTAAGTTACTCTAGAACAGGGCATTTCACACCAAACCACTCTGAATGACTTAGTTCATATCTCAACAACTAAATTATACAGAAATCCTTGAATAGAGCAGCTTATGAGAAAACATGAATCATGACTTAGTTTCTCTTAGTATATCGACTCTTATCTTCTATCGCAGCACACTGCTTAGAGAAGTGAAGCTGAAAAACTGGGCCTGTGCAGAGGAGTTAGCCAACAGTGTTGCTAAGGAAACAAAACAGAACTCTAAAACAGACAGCTGCTACGCCACCTTCCACCCGCAGGGGGAGACAGTGGGCTGTAAGAGAATCAACACTGAACCATCTCAGTGCATTTAAAGGGCTCCTACCATATCATATAATGAAAAAACAAATTGTTTTTGCTCTTTTTAATGTTTTAACTTTCAAAACAAATTGTCCCCCCAATTCACACAGTCCATGGAAATTAATCTGCAAAAACAGACAATTTTAAATTCATTGTTTTTGTGATGTCACAAACACATTTACATACACCTGCCTATTCAGCAGTACAGGGCAGCGAATCAGAAAAGAGCAGATTTACATATTTCAGTCTTAAAGGCACAGTAACAAAAACAGCCTGTTTAAAAAAAGGGTGGAAAATAATAATGTAAAAATAAATTATGGCTGTGTTAGATGCATAACACCACAAAAAATGTCATAGGTAGACATTTTATAAAAATAAAATATAAGAAAAACGTAGTATATGGGCCCTTTAATAAAGAAGGCCCTGAGCTCATAACATTATTTTGATAGAATTGAAGAAAACATGTTTTGAACATATTTCAGCATAGGAGTATCTGATTTCTCATTTATTACATTGTATTTTATAGCAAATTTCAGGGTTATATTAGTGTGTAGTGTCTTTTAATAATAATTATATTAACCCAAGACTTCTCAGCCAGCTTTAAATGTGATAATAGAGTATATTGAGTTGCACTGATATGAGATAGCACAGATCAGATATTTCAGAGCCCAACATTTTAGATCACCTCTTTAGGTCACTGCAGATTCAAATGTGAGGTTTTGCATGAAGATCACAAGATTTTCATTTCAGTTTTCATAGCTCTGGTCTCCTTTTTCGGTTTCTAATACCTTATGAAAGGTCAGTCAGGTCATCGATCAGGCGTCCACACAGGGTTGAGGTGGAAAACCTAGTAACCACATGGAGCACAGAGGCCTCAGTGGAGCAGTATTTTCTAGAGCAAAGAGAAAACAGTATTAATAATCCAGCTCTAAATGTATTTGAGTTCAGGGCAGTAAACTGAAGCCAGATGATCAGTTCCGCACTTTGTGTTTCAGTTCCATGTAATGTGGCTGGCAGAGCGTGGGGTGAAACCAATTTTTTAAGCAGTATGCTTGTGTACCTGCCCACATCCACCCACATTTACTCATTGCACACACACTGATGACAGAATGAGTTTACTTTCACAGATTTTTCCTCCACCTGTTTTACTAAACAACCTTGTCATAGCGCCAGACAAGCCCACCAACACATTTCTCAAAGCTTTGAGAAACATTATGTATCAGGAAACACTGGGATACTTTTCAAACATTTAATAGCTTATAGGCATCATTGAGCCACAATGCTCTCCATCACACAAAACCTTAACACCTTAGACACGTTAAAGGGCCCATATGTTGAGATTTACTCACAGTTTTGAAAGTATTAAAGTTTTAAACACATACAGTCCATAGAGACACATACAGTAACTAAGTTGCACAAACAGCTTGTTTGGAATCCATTGTTTTTGTGATGTCACAGAAACCAGCACATTTGCATACACCCGCCTATTCAGCCTATCGCAGTTCAGGAACCATGAAGTGTTTTAGCCTCAACTGCTTTTTGAAGGAGGCACAATAGAGGGCAGCCAATCAGAGCAGAGCATATTACATATATTACTTTTAAAGGCACAGTAACAAAAACAGAAAGCTTAATTCAAAAGGGATAAAGAGTTTGGGAGAATATCATTTGCAGAATATTATTGCTGTCCAAAACAAAACAAAAAACATTCATCTTCAAAATGGCAGCTTTACAGGAAAAGGCAAAAAAGTTCTTAACTTCTAGATTTTATTCCAAGTAATTTTGGTCCATTCATCATGAAATTTATGCACAATGTAAAAATTAGGTTGAATTTATGTTGAAAAACAGAAACTGAAAAAAAACATTCACAGAGAAAATAAGAGCCCTTTAAAGACCTTAAATACAAGCTTTCTAGGCTATCTACTCTTGAGAGTGAGGAACTTGCAGGCTCCACTGTTATTACTAGGAGGCCTACTGCAAAAAGAAAATGAATGGACCCCCCTACAAAAATAACCTTCGATGAATGAAAAAGACAATATCATTTACAAGTCCACTCTCAACCAAAGTGGTACCCTAATGTAGCCTAATGATTCAAGTGCATTGTTATCACAGCTACTCCTCAGCCATGGGTGCAAAATAGCATAAGTAGCAATATGAGGGGTCCAGTAAAGATGCTAAGAGGCCCAGTTGCCACAGAGCTATATGATAATGAAATTTTTTTGAATATGTTAATAAATGACAAAATCTTATAATATTAAAAAATATATATCTTACACTATATTTTCAGTATATTACATTTCGTATGGGCCCACATACATGGCCTTCCAGTGTAACTTATAGACTTAATGAGGTCATGATGCATTCATGCCAATGCACATAATCCATCTTTGCCCAGCCACAATTTTATATTGCTGCGTGAATGCAATGACTGCATCACATCCACTGTACATCTTAATCCTGCCAAAACCTTTACAGATGATTTCTGCAGATTTTTATAAATCTAATAAATAAATGGTTAAGTCATTCAGAGTGGTTTGATCTGAAATGCTACACCCAAAAAAAAAGACGGTTCTTCAAAAGTCCTTTTGTGAAGAAAATGGTTCTATATAGAGCCATGAACACTCAAAGAACCCTTTGCATGATTACAGGGTTCTTAGCATCGACCACACTGGTGGTGATAGGAAACAGAGGTCTAAAGAGTTTGATGTTAGCTAAAAGCTCCCTGACAAAAAGTTATTACACTGACATGGTCATGAATACGCTGCCTGATGCCTGAGACATTGTTTTATGACAGTTTTCAGATAAATTTTTGCCTAAAATGTCATTTTAAAGCATTCGTTGTGGAGAGGTTTATGCAAGACGTTGCAGGCAAAATAGTCCCCAAACAAAAATAGTCCCCACCATTGTACCACAATCATCATTACATACAAAAAGACAAGTGCAGGTTCACTGGTGGTTTTGGATATTACATAAAATGGCTATATTTGTGTTGTAGACATGGTGACCCCTGGTGACCCCTATCACCACCACTGTGAAAGAAATCTCTACAGTCAACCATTTCACATCAAACCACACAATGACTTTGTTTACATTTATTAACCACTTAAATGGCCAGGGCCCACCAGTGGACCCAAAGTTTTATTAGACACTTCTATAACTTAAGAATAGCTCAGCCAGTTTGCATTGTAGTCCACGTAATTAATGAATAATAGGCCTTAGTATGTAATAAGCCTGGAATTTTAAGGAGACATTAAAAATGGATGGAATTCCCCTTTTATATGTGTAAGAAGGCTCATTGGTTCCTGATATCAGTCCTGCAAGACCCCATGTTTTGTGAAGCTTTACGTTTCTGCACACTAACTCAACTGCCTCAGCTAATGAAAGCCTCTATAATCATATAATGAGCTGAATCAGGTTTGCAGTGCACAGTCTCCAGGATGGGGCTGCGAACCACTGTGCTAAGCCACTGAACCCACAACACAGCACCTCATACGTTCTCCACATAGATTACCTACAAGAAGTCAATTACTGCCTTGGTTTCACATCCTCATCAGTGACCAGAGATGCTCTTTTTCTAGTAAATGCAGGAAAGCGATAGTCACTGTCCTATGAAACGAAAGTACAGAACTTCATAAGGAAGTGAACCAAGAGGTTGATGTTTTCAGGCATCAGCAATCTTTTTCTTCCGGACGCTTTCAGTTGTACTGACTGCGCTTACCGTAAATGGGGTGCATAAAAACATCTCTATAAACACAGAGTATGGAGGACATTTTTTTATTAATACACGCTTAGCAAGCAATGTGTTATTTCTCTCCTGCACATTCAGTAGGCATTTAGAAAACGCATTAGTCCAGTTAGTGAACGCAAATAATATATTACAGAATAAAGTCATAGATCTCCATTCAGCTTTGACAATAAACATCAGTTATCAGCTCAGCACAATGGGGTCTCTATCTAAATTTGATATTAGGAACAGCACATGGACCAGAATGTCAGAATTATTAATAACTTAAATATTAAGCACTTCATTGGTAGACATGTTATTTACAAGTTCATATTTAAACATGATAATGAAAACCAAGCAAAAACATTTGCAAAATTAATGAACCATACAATGCGAGTGGAAAAGGGAACCTGGAAAATTACTACAGGTGCTATTTTCAGAAAGGCTTAGATAAGTACACTTTTACACTGAACTCACAGCTTGGGGGTATTTACTGTGTCACTGTGATCTATTCATATTTTCTTAAAAATAAAAAAGCATTTTACATGCTACCAGTACTAGCGTACAAATTGGGTTAAATCCTGTTATTTTTAACATCTTTAGTTTGATATTTGTTCTAAATCTTAAATCTGGAAACACTTAGAGTGTGTACTTGTCCTACATTAAAAACAAATAACAACAACAAAGATTGGACAATGAGGTTAGTCCAGCACGACTGACATTCTAACCATATAAAAAAGAAATTAATTAAGGAATTAATACAAAAGTGTATCAGTACAAAATAAAATTTATTTACAACATGTGGAAATAGCGCGTCTCTCTCTGCCCAAACTGTAAAATGCATAAAAAAATGATCTACATGGTAAATCAAACAGGAAGTTGCTAGTTCCTGTGTACTATTCATAAGCCATGTAAACAAGGCTGCTTGAATAACTGCATTATTTTAAGCATGAGAGTACGAGGCAGTACGAGACAGCACATACAGTAACACTTTCATTATTGCATGGCTTTGCTTGGGGGCCAGCATGTGCAACACTTTGCATTAAATTGGAAAATTCCACCCATTTTTCACAAAATTTCTGCGGAATTCAATCGTTAGGATGGAAAGAAAGTCATTCAAATTGGTTTGATGCTCCATTCTAGAAAAAACAGAAGAAAATGAGTCACAGTGGTGGTGACAGGAACCACTTAATGCTTCTAAAAGCTCCCTCACAGGAAGCTGATGCCTTTGAACAGGGGTCTCGAACTCATTTTAGAGAACGGTAGGCGTGTCATGACCATAGAATGAATGTAAACGGTTACGATTAATGATTTAATGGTCTTTTCCTGTTCACTTTATGCACCAAGTACAAGCCTAAGCGGCTAAAATGGCTGATTAGCCATCTTAGCTATCTTGTCTTTGTGGCTAACACTAAGCTTTGCTGGCATGAAATGGTGTCTACAGTTAAACAGAATCGTGTGAGTCAACAAAACCTTACATTTCTCACCAAACTGTATAAATATGAGGTGAAAAACACTTGTTCTGCTAGCATATGTGCTAAAATTAGCATTAGCAACTTAGCTACCTATAAACAGACATAAACAAACCTCTAAACGTGTTACAGCACCCAGTTCAAAGTCAGAACTTTTGCTGTTTTCGTAATACAGACAACTTGTCTCAGGGAATGTATTTCCTGCCTTTATAATTTGGGGCAGTCGTGGGCTGGAAGGTCACCGGTTTGTTCCCCTGAGCCGGGAGTACGTAACTGAAGTGCCCTTGAGCAAGGCACCTAAGCCCCAACTGGTCCCCGGGCGCCGTGGATAGGGCTGCCCACCACTCTGGGCAAGTGTGCTCACTGCCCCTAATGTGTGTGTGTTCCCTATTGTGCATGTATGTGAGTGTTTCACTGCACGGATGGGTTAAATGCGGAGGTCTAATTCCTCTGTGTGCAAAACACAGTTGGCTAAAAGTTCTGAATTCTAATTTATATGCATTTATGAAAACTTAATATGTATTTATGAAATCCATTTTCTGCTTGTTGTGATACAATGATTGTCAAAGGACTAACTATGGAAAGTAACTGCGGTCAGTTAAATAATTGCGGTAAGATGGTTATGTAATAATTGTGACAGGCCTGGATGACAGGCTACTTTACAATGAGTGTGTTTACATGCACTTAATAATCCGATAACTGCAGAAAGTCAGATTTTGTCAGTAATCCGTGAACCATTTCACATCAAACCACTCTGAATGACTTTGTTCGAAAGTGATTGAATATTGAACTATGTAGAAATTTTGAAAAATGTCAGAACTGCCTTGTAAGGTGGATCAGTTAGCAAGATACATGGGAACGAAATTCAAGTAAAACAGTGAGGAAACATTTGCAACACTATAATCTCAGATTTCTAAAGCTTTTCAACTTAATTTTGAGTGCTTATAATAGGAATAGAATTCGTCTGTAATTAAAAGTGGAAATTGTCCACAAATTATGTAAAGCATGCCACTCCCCCAATAAGCAACAAGCAAACATCAATGCTTGCTCTGACGTACGCTGAGTGACATTAATATTTGTTTTGTTGCCACTATTAAAGTCATTGTGCACAGTCTGCTGCGGTCTAGCTCATAAATGAACTTTAAAAATGCAGGCATAGTTGAAGGCACAGTTCAATCCATGATCTAAGTTTAAGACGAGCCAGTCAACTGGGCATTAGTCCGGAATAAAAAGTGATAGGGGACATAATTGCACTTGATTATTTGCAGGTATTGAAAAAAAAGCAGAACAAACAAACAATGCATCTTACAAGCATCTTCTATTAAACAGGCATTTTGCATTCACCAACTTGTTCTATTGCCTTTGTTCTCAAGCTCTTTAAAACTCTTGGCTTCTCTCAAGAACTGGTCAGCTTGCCTAAGCTTCTCCATGGCAGTGGCCAGCAGAATCTCTGGGCTACTTTCCCCTTCAGGGTCCAGTCCTATTTCCCCCAGCAGCTTTCCTGTTTCTTCAAGCTCTACGGATACTTTACTTTGCAAGTCCTTCATGTCACTTCCTTGTGGCGCAACCTGCAACTCGAGAAGGTCTCCTGTGGATGCGGCCCTTGTTTTTGAGGTCAGCTGTGTCGTTGGACTGGTTGGTGCAGGGCTAGTAGAGGAGCTCTCCACAGCCACTTTAGGTGTTACAGTTAGGATCGCTGGGGATGGCTCATCCACACTTGGAGCCTTGCTATCACAGGACTCTAAGTCCTCTTCGCTGATCTCTCCGTCGAGACCCTGGAGGCTACCTTCTAGCTTGTCTGTAGATGAAGTTACTTGGTCACCGTTTTCGGAATCCTCTGCCGAGAGTTGGCCACTGTCTACAGACTTTTCTTCCACTTCCACTTCCGGCCCAGAGATGTCGTCTTCAGTTGGATTACATGAAGGCAAGACAACCTTGTTCTCACCTTTGGCTTCCTGAGTGTCTGGTTTCATATCATTCTGAGGGACACTTTCACTCTCAGAGACTGAGGATGTGACAGTAGTAGGAGGCGAGCTGCTGGCGGAGACAGCAGGGACACTCTGTGGACCACCGTCTCCCGTTTTGATGGGTGGTTTCAGAGGTTTCTTTTTGGGTGGAGCAGGGGGTGCCTTTTTAACAGTCTCTGGAGTTGAATGTGGAGTTAATTTGAGTTCACTGGCAGGTTTCGCAGGTTCAGGAGTTTTGGCTTGAGTCACATCCAAGGCAGCAGATTTGTTAGCATCTCCTTCAACAGAGGTTTTCTCCAACGCTGTACTAGGTGAATCCCAACATACTCCTTGAGGCTTCGGGACATTGTTTGAGAGAATGAATGCAGTATCCTCTGTCTTAACCTTATCTTCTTCTTCGGCTGCCTTCTGAGAGTCAACACTGTCATCTTCCACATCCTCATCGTCTTTGCTGTCTTTATCATCTTTATCCTCTTTATCATCTTTATCATCTTTGTCGTCTTTATCGTCTTTATCATCTTTGTCGTCTTTATCATCTTTATCATCTTTATCGTCTTTATCATCTTTATCGTCTTTATTATCTTTATCGTCAACATCATCGTCTTCTGAAAGACTTTGTGCCTGGCTGGGTGCCTGGCTGGGTTTCTTGTCTTTGGATGGTGGAGTTGGAGGATGGGTGGTGGTCTTGGGTGAGGCAGGTTCATGAGACTCTGTATCATCAGTCTCTTCTGGAGTTGGACTTGACTTGCTTGGAGAAGGTGCTGCTCCAGACTCCACCCCACTGTCTGAGGCATTCTCTCGAGTGGCATCCCCATTGGCAGAAATGGTCGGTTTGTTCTCCTTTGAAGGAGGCATGGGGGGCATCAAGACTTTCTTCTCCTGCATCACCTCACTTGGTTCTTCCTCTTCTACATTTTTGGAAGGTTTCTTCTCCTTCGATGGTGGCATTGGTGGCGTAAGAACCTTCTTCTGTGGGGCCTCACTCTCCTGGCTTTCGCTGGGTTTGTTCTCTTTTGAAGGAGGCATGGGTGGTTTCACGACTTTCTTCTGAGGTTCAGATTCCTCAGCTGCAGCTTCCTCTGGGATGTTGTCTAAAGACTTTAATGGAGTCGCTTCAGGCTTTGCAGTCTCACTCCCTTCAGCAGTTGGGATGTGTGTTCCATTAGGCGTACTGTCGACACCATCAAGGTCCAGCCTCAGGATTCCATCCGATGAGACATTTGCAGCCTAATGAAAAAAATAACATGAACGTTAACAATTAAGGCCTAATCAACACATAACGTCTGGTGTGAGGAATATAGCTTTTATGTAAAAGGTGTTATGAAGATGTTATGTGCATACCTCCTTCATGTGTATCCTGGTTGGTGGTCTTCTACCACGGTTTCCCTTTGGCCGAGAGCGTGTTACATGCTCCAAAGAGAGACCTTCATCTACTTTTACCTGTGGTGGGAAAAAAAATTTCAAATTAAGGCATACATAATATTATGTATTGTTATTTAGTAAGCTATTACAAGTGGTTAGAATAACATTGCTTCTTTAATATTAAATTGCCATTTAATATTAAAACTCTATTTTTTCGTCACCAATGACAGGAGATATTTTTAAATCCAGTGCCTAAAATAATCTACTACTAAAACACACTGACTAAAACTTAAGAATGCATTTTTAGTAATGTGCTGTACTGTGAAAAGTCAGAGATTCCTTTATTAAAGTGTATATTAAAGTGTTCTGGATTACTTGAATGAGAAGCAGAAGATGAGAAGCAGAAAATACAACCAACTTCTAAGACTGAACTGTGGAGGTGCAGATTTTGTCTAAAAAACTGAAAGCGAGTCTCCTGAAAAGAATGGAAGCTGTAATAAGGGTCAAGAGTGGACACACTAAATACTGAAAGATTGGTTGTTGAGGCATCTGTGTAATTTTCTATTAAATGTATGTTTTTCGCTTTTTTTCTAACACTGAAAAATTTATAACTTGGCTGTTTTGCCTGGAAATTAAATAAATTAAGGTTGCTCTCTGACTTTTGCACAACACTGTATATTAAGATTAAGTTTACAAAATTGCTATATTATCTTCTTATTATTCCTTAAGTTCAAAAAATTGTATTGCATTAAAAAGCATTGTGGATACCTCATCAAAGATTTTATTTTTTGCCCTGTTAATGCCATCACTGAGTGCCTTGATCCAAGCGTCCTTCTCTTCCTGACTTTCAGCCTGCAGTTTGACACTAGAGACCTAAAAGCAAACAAGCAAATGAAGTCTAAAGGACATCACACAAGTTCAGAATGTATATATATTAACATTAAACATTAAAGAACCACATAGCTGACTTTGTTCACTTTGAAAGATACGCAATTTTGCTTAATATATGGACTACATTTAGTATTTGGTGATATTTACAAATCTTACAACAACATAATGTGATAAATGTGCTCTTGGTAATATTGTGATTAATATGTCGCTGCTGTCAGAACAAAACCTCATATCTCCAAAATGAGAACGTTACAGGAGAAGGAAAAAACCTACTTTACTTTTAATGTAAGTCAAAGGAACCAGACGTTTTTCCAAGTATTTTTGGGCCATTTCTATTGGTTCATTCACCATGAAATTTAGAGAGAACGTAAAGGCCAATAGTTATTTTTAATTAATAATTCAATTATATAAAAACTGAAAACAGCAAAAATGGATATACAAGGTTTTGTTCTGACAGCAGCGATATGAAGCAAATAAAATGTAATTAATACATAAAACAAATAAAGTCACAGTATGGAAGCTCTGCTTGAATTAAACCCGTAAAATGATTATTAGCATCTTTGATCTGTAGATTTTCGCTGTAGGGAAAAACAAAGGACTGCTCTAAAATAAAATCATTTCAGTTTAATGATATGGATCTCCCCTGCGATGGACTGGCGACCTGTCCAGGGTGTATCCTGCCTTCCGCCCAATGACAGCTGGGATAGGCTCCAGCACCCCACCGCGACCCAGAAGGATAAGCGGTTTAGATGATGGATGGATGGATGGATATGGATCTCACAGGTTTACAGAATCACACTGTAGCTTTTAAAACATAATCAATGCATTGTTACACTCCTAACACAGACCCAATCTCACAACTCTGCACAGTCGGATGCTTTCATGCTGTCAAAGACTAAAAATATCAGATCTCTAAGCATTTGGTAGCAAGACGCTTTAAGCAGACATGCTTAATTTGCTTAAGTGAACTTATGTAATTGGCGCAATATGGACCAACGATGTGGAACAAAGTCATGAGCGGTATATCCTGTACAGCGTCTTTCCAAACCACAGAGGAGTGCATCTGGATCCTCGCCAATAATGATAACTGTAGGCCAAGACTAATCAGATGAAGAATGTTTTCAGTCTGAGCTTTCTGTAGAAATTCCTAAATGGACTGTTTTGTCTTGAATTGTCTGTTAGTGTTTTCACACAGTTTACTGTTCTGCTGTGATCTGTGTGAAGTGTGAAATACATCCTGGTTCTTGCAGTGCTCAGCATGAGTCTTTGAAGTCCCCCAAATTCCACAGTTTCTTTACTCAGCCTTTTTCAAAATAAGCCAAAATCATATTCTGTAACAAACAGCAATTAGTTTAATCGATCACCAACATAAAATATAGGTGTAGAAATACATCGCTGTATTTATTCAACAAATAGATTATAAGGGATTATAATTATTTTTAATAAAGTATGTACTAGGCTTGAGCCGACTGACAGTCGTACCACACTAATCGCTGATAGACTGCATCTGTCGCAATGGCTATCAAGTTGAGCATAAATGTCAAAAATAGTGTTGTCTGTTCACACAAAAGGAAAGCATATCATTGCTTTTGGAGGGAAACCATGTATCTCCAAAATGATCACTTTACAGGAGAAGAAAAACATTCTTAACTTCTAAGTTATCTAGATTTCTTAAGTGAGTTTGGACCTTTTGAAATTTTAACACAATGCAAAGAGTAACTGTTTTCAAATTACGCAAAAAAACAAAGACATAAATGGAGATACAACATTTTTGCATGATAGCGACAACATGTGTCTCTGTTTTAACACATTTCAGAATATTCTACAGCAGCATGCGGCAGCATTTTCTTTTTGTACAGTGGTCATGCATGCCAAACAGATAAAGCTGTGCTGTGGCCTTCCATGCATGGAATGCCTTCCCTCGTGAAACATGAACAGACATGAAAAATCAGCAGTGAAAAAGGTCACAAGCTCAGAAACCAGTCCCCAGCAGCAGGTCCACTGGCATTGTTCATAGGAGAAAATTTTAGTAAATTAAACATGAAGTTCTCGTGCACTTTGAAAGTACAATACAGTGGTAATTACTGTGTAAATATTTAGTTAATTCGGTTCTTCAACTATACAAATACAAGTTCTGTACAAATAATCAATTTTTATAAGTATTTTGCCTTATTTTTTACTCATTTAAAAAATTCTGTTGTGCCAAACCAAGGTCAAAGGTCATCTTTTTTGAGATACCACATCTATTATAAATAGAGACCGTTCTAAAAACTTTGCCCATCATTTATGTTCTAATGGCTCCATAAGGCGCTGAGTGCTTGGACCCCGAAGATTGCCACTTGCGTTGAAATGTCCAAATAGTCCGTTTGTGCTCATCTTGTGCTTCGGTAATGTTATCTTAGCTCTGACTGGCCTATGTATTACATGCTATATCTGTGGGTTGTCCAAATATTGACCGTAAACTGCTGCTGTGCTGTGTTTTAGGGCAGAGAAAAGTTAAGAAATCTTCAACTTTACACAATTCCTGTGAGTGGCATGTTCATTATTCAAAACAGCAAGTTTGCATGTTTGATGAAAGTTATGGAGAGGTCTGAATTGTTTTTACACCCCTCTTCATTCACCCTTTATTGCTCGCTAGCAGCTCAACAGAGAGTCATAACGTTTCACACACAGTGAGACAAGAGTGTCCTAGTTTTTCTGATAACAGAGTTATGGGGGATAAATATTTCATTAGATTATATTAAATACAAAAATTCAAGTCTATTTTCAATCAGCCACTACGGGGCGTGCAGAAAGAGGTTAACAGTGAGCTTTAGCCATTTGAACAAGAAGCATTTTATAGGCTTCAAAAGGGTGCTTTCACCAAACCAAAGTTAACTTAGTAAGTTAGCAAATGTCTGTTCAGAAATACATGCACATTTTTAAACAGGCCTTTCTGTGCCATTACTACACTACCTACCACATACCCCCCAACAATACTATCATCAATTGGTGATGGCTAGGGGCCGTGATCGGATGGTGGTATACTGCACATGCCCTCACATGCCTAGTATGTGGCCAATTTTTTAATCATTCTCTATTTGAAATCTATTGTTTTCATCAATTGCTTTGTAAACAGTTCCTCCAGTTACATCTGTACAATATAAAAAAAAATCGAAGCAAATCGAATCATGATTTCAAATATGTAATGTATGTGAAATATGATTTCATGAGCACTGACTCATTTCCTACAGAACTGTCAGCAGATCAAATCAGAGATTTACAGCCCTAGCTCCAAAGTGTGACAGAAGTCACTTATGTGGTCATTAGGCCCTGAACCTCTTTTTCCAGAACTACATCATGTGAGGTTTGAGGCAAAAATGAAGCCAGAGGCCATGCTGTCTGACTCACAGCTGGCTGCTCCCTGTATTCAGGAGAGAGGAAAAAGTGACAGGGAGGGTCTGGCTGTTCTTTAGACACACACACACACACACACACACACACACACACACACACACATACATCCTTTTTACATCTGCTGGACTCTCGGGAGCTTGAGCCTCCTCATCTGTTAGCAATACCGCATATTTCTCCACTTAGGTATCTCCTCTGCATTTCTGACGTTTGGAATTTTCTACTAGAGTGCACAGCATGCAGGCCAAAGAGGCTCAAACACTATAAACAACTTTCAAAACTGTCTTCTAGCTGGAATGGAATTGAGCTCATAGAAATTACCGCACTAATAAATACTGTAAACATCTTCAGGGGTTACTGACAGTCTAGACTTCTGCCCATCATCGGAGAGTCTAGTGCATTTTGCTGCTTAACACTGACAGGAAAAGCCGGTTAACAGACATAGAAAATAACCAGCCTCAGACTGCTGCTTTAGCATGACGTGTCGTTGCAGGCTATTTTCAAAACGGGCTAACTTTACCAAATGTTTCAGTAGTGACACTGTTAGCTAATTTGAGCAGAAATCAAAAACGCTAGTCAGTACATGACTAGCAAACACAGCTTTGAACAAATGTACACTGTTAGCTGTCTGCTGAGTTGTTCAGCCTTGAATCAGTTAAGCCACAGTTTTTTTCATGTAGATGCAATTTGCACAAGAAAACATACATGTTTTCATGAGATCCTGCTGGTGTGGGTTTCTTCTCTTTCAGTGTTGCATGCAAAAGTGCCTCGAGTGCTAAAAGCTCTTCTTCATAGAGAATGACAGATTTTATAACAAACTGCGGCCCTGTTTATCGTTCAAATTGAACTAATGAACTAATGCATAAGCCGAAGTTCCAGATTTGAAGACCTCTGGTCAGTATTATAGAATTCCTTTACAGTAAAGTAATGCATTTTCCAACCACATCCTTGGAGTTGGCTCAAATAAGATTTTTGGATTAAAACGTATAAATATAATTGTATGCAAAAGTTTCAGCACAGGGGTGTTCAAAGTTTCACATACAACTGTGTACATAGGATTCAGTAAATAAGCAATTAAAATGGAGAAATGTATGAACTGGAATCACTGGATCTCCTGTGTTTGACCTGGGCTGATGATTAGACTGTTTCCATCTCCTGAAAAGCATCTTTCACATACTTGAAAGCAAACAGCATTGGTTTGTGGCTGTTTTCATGTACCACAGTATCTGCACAGTCAGAAAAAAAGTTGTTTCCCTCTTTTTCAGAAATACAAACAGAATCCCTGAAGTGAATGACCTTTTAAATTACAACTGACTTTGCATAGCTCAGTGCGATAAAGACAGGATGTTTCTGCTTTCATTTTTGTATCGAGCGCGAGAAATTCATGAACAATAATAATCAAAACTACGCTCAAAGATTCTCTCAGGGAGGAACCAGTCATAATATTTGAATACATTACTTTAAATAATTTAAGTGTAATTATGTTAAGATGTAGTTTAGGTATAGTTTTCAAATCTATTTTCATAGCTTTTTTTGCAGGAAAAAGTCACTTCGCAGGGTATCACCAACTTAAACACTCAATCCCATGTATCTAGTCACTTCCGGTCTTTTGCATGTGTTTACGCAGACTCTGCACTTCCCCTGAAGTTCACTCTTACTTGTGCAAAATGTCACAGGAAGACAAATCATGAGGAGTAAGCAATATGCAGACTCGTTAGTGGTCTTGAGTCTGGGCAGATATGTGTCTGATTCATAACGGTCCACACAAAGAGCCAGTGTGCTTTTCCCGCATGCCATATTGAACCGATGACGTCACTGACCCCTAGTCTGCCCTCACTATGTATTGCATTGTTAATTGATGAGAGCCACTCTTTATACCACAGACAAGAGAAGAGTGGAGTGCTCTGCTGCGTCTGACATCGCAGTGTCACCCCTAATGAACGCGCAGTGTCAACACTTACCTTACTCCCACTCTTCTGCGCTCCTATCAGTATCAGCCTGTTTTTTTTCTTGAAGATACTGCGTAACTCGTGGCATTTGTCGAAGTCTTCCAGGTCTAATCGCTCTAAGCAGTTCTTTAAGTCCTGTGGGAAAAGGGAAAATTTAGCTTGTTTATTTCAGACCTAAACAAGGCCTTCAAAGGAAGAAGAAGACCTCAGAATGTTCTCGCAGTTACTCATAACATTCATTTAAAAGCATTCTGTGTTGTCGCTGTTGGAATAAACCACCAACACCCAAAAGTGTAACTTTACAGGGGAAGGAAAAAATATTCTTAACCTGGAAGTTAACTTACAAGATGTGTTTTCAAGTAATTTTATGTTGGCAAATTATGCAAAAAAGTAAAAAAGAAAGACAAAAATGGAGATCCAGGTGCTGATATTGAACTACACATATACAGTACTGTGCAAAAGTCAGAACAGCCTTCATTTATTTAATTGCCAGTCAAAACAGCAAGTAATTCATCTCTCAGGAGATCTTTCTCAGGAGATTAGATACAAGTTATAAGTCTCTTGTATAAGAAACTTTCAAAACTGGAAAAATGATTAAAAGCTACAGAGACAATTGGACTCCTAACAATCACCTGGATGACCTGGTGGACCCTAAAACTGTCCCCATCAGATAAACAGCACTTAAAGCTTTCATCTTTGAGAGAGAGGAGAAAATCAAGCTGCTTCAGATCTGAAAACATCCACAGGTGTTTCTGTCCATCCTTCCACTGTGAGAAGACAACTCAGCACTATGGGTCTGAAAGGATGTGTAGCTGTCAAGAAGAACCTCACTGAGAAAAGGAGACAGACACATCAAACAAAGAAGCTGAACAATGGACTGACCACCCCAGAGTCCAGACCTCAACACCACTGAATGTGTTTGTATTACTTCAGAAAATGATCAACCAACTTCTAAGACTGAACTTTGAGATTCTTTGACAAGAATCAAGGTGCAATAAAGGTAAAGAGTGGACACACTAAATACTAAAAAAAATTATATTATATGTAGTTGTTGAGGTTTCTGAGGAACTTCCTGTTAAATGTATATTTTCTGTTTGTTTTTTGATGCTGAAAAATGAATATCTCGTACTTAATGGCTGCTTTGACTGGTAATGAAATTAATGAAAGGTGGTCTCAGAGTTTTACACATTACCGTACATACCATACATATGCATTATAGCACTGGCCTGCCTGCTCCACCCCACGTCTCTGAACTGTTAGGGCTACAGCCATGTATGGCTCAAAGAGGGCTTTCAAAACTGCCCTACCACAAGTTAATAAAGGTTATGATTGCACAGTATACATGTGGGCATGACTCTTGTGTTGCGCTGTATATCGCAAGCTCAACTTCAGGAACTCTTGCAACATTAGCTGATGGAAACACTGATTCATTTGCATTTCTTTCACCAACTTTCCAGTATCGGTATTGGAACAGAAAAATTGGTGCCATCTTTAGCCCTAATATATTACAGCTTGCTGCTCTGATACTTGTTTTTTCATTGTCCACTGTAAGAAATGGTCACCTAAAAATGACTTAAAGTAGTAAACAAGCAACTGAACTGCTTTTATTCAACTCAAAAACTTTGAATAAAAAACTGATTTATCAGAAGTGCTCATTTAAGTTAAATAAAACTAGTTAACTTGCTTGTTACCACATGACGGTTGAACTGAAAATACATTATTTGGGTCATTCTCCATTTGAAGTGGGAAACCATGTCACAAAGGTTGCAGGGCTTAAAAGATGCTTAAAATATTAGGCACAGCTCCAAAAGTCAGTATGTACATTTACACAGTTAACCTAAGATTAAATAATACTTTTCCCTTATGATTCTCTGATTTTTCTTTTTTTATCCTGTTTCATAGTCGCTCTGCATCTGTAAAACAGCTCGTCACAAAACCAATTTTCAAACCATTTTTAATATAAAACAATATTTTTAAGAGGTTTAACTTAAGAATTTGCATAAAACAGATTCATGTTTATTTTTTATATCATTAACGTGATACTACATTTAAAAATGTGTATTTTATTTAAATAATTCATTTGTTACAGAGATTTTGGTCACTAGTGTTATCAGGACTCTTATGTTACTTTTTAACATAGTATTTTCAACTCTATTAGACTGCTTCTTCGGATCAAGGCTCATCAGAGAGGAAGCATCTCAAAGCATCACATAACAACTATGTGTCACTGGTGTTATGTGCTTTAATGGCTGGGTAATTAAAATTTTGTCAAAATAATGTCATATTTCATTTTTATTACTGATTTTAAATAGTTGTACAAGATCTCCTGACCCCCAATGAGCCAGCCAATTTACAAAATCCTCAGTTTTAACCAGAATGTCACTGGTGTCACTGTCACTGGTGTTACACCATATTCATACAACACCAGTGACTGTAAAATATGTTTGGAATTAAGCTCTCCTTTTAGCATATGTGATGATAGGAGATGTTAATGTACATATTTAAATTATTTAGTTTTGGGATGAAAGAAATTGATTTTTAAAAAATGTATCCACCTGAATTCCCACTCCAAATAGAGAATGACCCATTTACAGTATAGGCCTACCTCTGTATGTATGCACATTCAGTAAGACATCTATTATTGTGTATGTAACTAGCTTGTATAGATGGCTGAAGCTCAAAATGTGCAACACTTGCCCTGTACTCCTACATGAAGTGGTCTCTTGGTGCAGGATGGTTTGTGGTGAGTTTGCAGACATTGTCTCATTACCTCATTGTCGTACACTGCGATCTCTGTTCTGTCCAGCTGGATATAGCGGTCCTTGTAGCTGCCCAGGAACTTCCCTGAGGACTTCTTCAGCCAGCCGGCCTTGCCCGAGCTCTTCACCTCTTTGGGCTTGGCTGGATCTTCTTTAACGCCCTGCCAGACATGGAGAGACAAAAGGGGGAAGGAAAATCAATGTCACAATGTGGGGCAACTCATCTGCCTCCACTGGACCCATGCCAGACTCCTGAGTGGGCATTACTGTGGGAGGACACAGTGTGAAGCTCGTGGTTAACGTTTGTCGCACTCATAGAAAGGGTTATAGATGACTCGCGCAACACTTTCGCACAAGATTCTGGGAACAGCGGACAAATTTAACTAACTTTTGCTATTTTTAGACTTATCTCTTGTATCACAGATGGAACTTCCTCATCTCTCAAACATCTTTGTTTAGCACATACCTTACACACTTTTAAAGGGGAAGTTTCAAAATGTCAGCATAATACAATCGTTGAGATGTAAACAAAGTCATTCAGAGTGGTTTGATGTGAAACGTGCCATTCTAGAGTCAGAATTGTTCACAGTGGTGGTGATAGGAACCAGACGTCTGAAGCATTTAACATCTCTAAATGCACTCCCTTACAGAAAGTTATTACATGAAATGGTTGTGAGTGCACTACCTGATGCCTGAGACATTGTTTTTCGATAGGGTTGAGATGTTGGCATAAAAAATATTTTTAAAAATAGATTGATGGCTGGTTTTGGATAATAAATAAAATGGCTATATGTGTGTTGTAGACATGGTGATGCCTGGTTCCTATCACCACCACTGTAAAGAGTCCAAGAACCATTTTACACCAAACCACTCTGATCTGTTGACAATTTAAGAATCGAACTACACAGCTACAAAGAAAATGGTACATGAAACAATGATAACGACAGGCACTCCACCATGTAAACAGACAACGGTCTGTCAAGCAGAAGTACATTTTAAACCCTGAAACCAGGTTCCAACCACGCAGTGAAAACCACGCGGCAGGAGTCACTTCCCTTTTTATCGTGCGAAGCGTTTACTCCTGCTTCCACATCGGCAAGTAGTACGTGGAGCAGCTACTACACTGAGACAGTCGTTGACACTTAAATAAGGCCGTGCGTGTGATAAAGTTACTCAATAATTCAAAAATATCTAACAGTATAGATTGAAAGTAGGTGTTTTTAGATGTTTTGTTCAATAGTTTCTTTTATTTTGAGGAGCAACGAGAAGTAATTAGGTGTTAAATAATATAAGAATTATCAATTTACAACACTTTTTACAGCAATCTCCCCAGTGATTTGATCACCACTTGAATTGCATGGATTTTGGATACAGGGCAATTCTACTGATTTTCCCAATTTTAAAGATTCCAAGTTCAACAAACTGGCACCATTCCTCTGGACAAGGAGAGCAGATCTGTACTCTCTATATTAAAGTAGATCTCCTGTACCATATGGAGAGGTTTTGAGACATCATTATAGAAATAAATAAGCAAAGAAATTATTTTTTTAAATGAGCATTAATTAATTAAACGTCATCACATTATTTAATTTTAGAACAAAAGCTTAAATAATTTTCTACAATCTATTGAATTATTTAAACGTGCATTATTAATATTTAATTCGTTGTTGAATTAAAATAATTGTGTTTATTTACTTGACTATTTATTTATTTATTTCATGGTTGCCACACTACTCCACACTACAAAATAATTAAATGGGTCAACATCATCCGTCAAACTCAGTGGGCAGGTCTAACGTGCATGAATGGAAATTTAGAAAAAGCGGTCAACTTCAGCTCGTCCCATTTACGGATGTGCGAGATGTTTCTCAGGAGTTTGTTAAAAGTATCTTACAACCAGCAGAGGAAATTGAATTGGGGTGCAAACCCACTATGAGGAGTACAACACAGGAGTTGTGGTGGTTGGGGTTATTTCTGCTCTCTCTGACCGAGATAAAGACCACACGGTAGCTTCTGACTTTTAAAATGTGCTCCAGTGCTTCTCAAATACTAGAGCACAGCAGCCTGAGCAAAAACCGGCTTTTCACATCTCCATCCAATACCTGAGCACCATGTTCTCTGTGGATTACCAGATCATGAAACTGTGATGTTTGGAGTATCTGATAAGAGACACATGGAAGAAACAGCATAAGGTAGCTAGCTAGACAATAAATGGTGTTACAAACAGAAACTATCAAGCACTAGCTACATACTTAAAAATGACGGCTCCTCAAGGGTTCTTTAGCAAAGAAAATGGTTCTATATAGAACCACGAACACTCAAAGAACCCTTTGCATGATTAAAGGGTTCTTTGCATTGTGAAAGTGTTCTTCAGATTGATGGGACTGGGCTGTAGATGGATCTACATAGCAGTAAAAACGGTCCTTCTACTGATACGATGTCAAGCTTATCACAGTAGAAGAACCCTTTTCAAAAAGGTTCTATATAGAAACATCTACAGCACATTCTCCCTCAATCTGAAGAACCCTCATTTTTTTATTGCTTACTTCTACTAAGTTACTACTGAATGGAGCTATATCTAGTAGCTTTTAAAAAAGACGGTCCTTTAGTAAAGACAATTGTTTTATTTAGAACCACAATAACCCATAATAATAACAATCCATATAGAACCATTTCATGCTTAAGTGGTTCTTTGCATGGTAAAATCGTTCTTCAGATTGATGAAGAATATGTTGTATATGGTTCTATATAGACCTTTCTGAAAATGTTTCAATATAACCAAAAGGGTTCTTCTATGTCAAACATGCAACAACAGAACCTTTTTTGGTGCTATATATAACCATTTTACTTACCTACCTAAGTGGTAGGTAGAACTACCAGATGTAGCTCTGTTCCATAATAAGAAATAGCTAGTACTTATAGTACTAATAGTTGCTTGTTGTAGTGATAGACGGTGATACATTGGACAAATTATCAACTAGCCGTCCAGAACATGGTGGTCAAGTATTGCACTGGGGAAGTCAGGGACCTAGCATGGGAGAAGTGCTGGAGAACGCCTTGAAAGTCCGAAGCTACCCTGTGGTCTATATCTTGGTCAGAGAATGCAGAAATAACCCCTACAGCAGGCCAGAACAGTCCACCAGTCCATCAGAGTTAGACCCGCCCACTGAGTATGGTGGATGATGACATTTCCCATCATTCTTTATCAGACTGAAGAATTTTAAGTATGACTGTTTGTGGCTAATTAGTTAGCGAGGTTCTGTTAGTTTAGTCTATAAATAAGTGCCATATTTTCTACTGTACACTTTTTGAACTAACCATAGTTTAGATTAACTGTACTATGCAAATGGTTAAATAAAGAAGCGGAAATAAAAAATCAAAATCACATGGCATGTCAAAGAGAACGAAAGAACGATAATTTGCATGATATCTGCACTAATTGACATCATATTTATCTTAATTATCAGGTCAAAAATAACAGGAACCAGTGGTTGTGATCTCTCCAATGCAAATATAACTGTTTTATTTACTATCCAGAACCAACAGTGAACCTACATGCGTCTCCTAAGTTGTTGTAGGTAGTACTAATGATGGTAAAATAGAGGCAAATGGGAAGAAACACATTTTTTATTCAGATTGATTCAACTCTGACTCCGGAGGTTTCTCTAAAATGATGTTAATTCTGACCACTCTGAATTACTCTGCTGACTTTGTTTACATCTTAACCATTTAAGTATGTGAAAATTTTAAGTTGTTGGAATTCCCCTTTAATTCCCAATGTTCTACAATTTTCTTTCGTTTATAATCATCTGCTCTGTTCCTCATTCTGGACACATCTAACATCTATCTATCTATCTATCTATCTATCTATCTATCCATCCATCCATCCACCCATGTATTGCTCCAACTATCTAATAATGCGACTGTTTTAATCTCCGATGGTTTTCTGAATGGAATCTGAGAGGAAATTCCTCAGGATGTGCCTATAAAGGGTCATTGGAGTTGTTTTTCCACTTTCACTGGGCCTTTGGAAAGCGAGGCCGAGCGCTAGGTGCAGCTGTCAGAGAGAGGAAAAAGCTCCGAATAATAGGAGCAGCACCGTGCCACGAGAGGCGGGCACCACTCTCCCACAATGCCTCTGTCCAGGATACGTCCTCGCTCGCGCACCAGGCCACTGCAGGCTCCGCTGTCTGTGCCGAGGAAGGAGAGGCGGGGGGTGGATGGAACATTGGAGTGGCTCTCTTTTGTTTTCCACGTAGCGTTTGGGGGGGTGGGTGGTGTAATGGGAGCGCAGTGCAACACTGCTGCATCACAAACGCTTGCCGGCTGCCAAAGAGTTTGGGTGGGGTGGAAAAATCTATAGTGTGAAAAAGGACCTCAGCTGGTTTGGATACAGACAGCACCGCTTGGCTCCGAGCACCAAACAAACTCCTGCGAGGAGCGAGAGAGATGATGAAGTTCACTGTTTAGGTTCAGACAGGAAAGTATTTGAGACACACTCAGCGTGGGTTAGTCAAACAGGAAGCCTTCTGCTCTAACAACGACTCCACCATCACTAGTGATGAGGGGACCGGCTGACTGAACTCGACCGCAGTTATTAATAAAGAGGTCAAGGGCGTCAGTTCGGACACTCACACTTTAGCGCTGCAGACATGAACATGAAGAGAAGCTCTTCATAGGGGCGTACCGATACATTGTGACACAGTACATCATCGCTGCCAGAAAAAAAACAACATCTCCAAAATGGTAACTTTATGGGAGACTTTAGATCAAAAAAAGAAAAAGAAAAATTTTAATAAAAAAATGGTTCTGTTTTGTTTTTGTGACAGGAACCATATTTTTGCAAGGTGAACATTTTGACAGTTGATTATTCCTGTGAATAAATCGACTAATAATCAATTATATTTTACAGGCTTAAATAATAGCCTGTAAATGGGATGAGCTGTAAAAACAAAATGTTGGGCAATGGTTTAACAAATTGAGGTTCTATTCACCAAGAGCTAAATCACCACCACAGGTAAAAACCATTTACGCTACAGTAAGTAATAAGCAATATGTAAAAAGAGGAGATAAAAAAATAAATATGTAGATTTGCATTATATCTCTTGAGACTGCAGCATCACTTACCCAGTTGAACTAGCTCACTAGACGAGCTCTGTGT